ACTAGGTTGGAGACCATTGCTATTAGGTTGGAGACCATTGCTATTAGGTTGGAGGTCATCGCTATTAGGTTGGAGGCCATCTCTAGTAGGTTGGAGGCCATCGCTACTAGGGTGGCGGCCATCGCTTCTAGATTGGAGGCCATGGCTATTGGTTTTTGTTCTTCGACTTCGGCATTGGTACCCCAAGACTTGACACTTTTAACCTTCTCCCACTTGTGGAGTTGGTTGGGTAAAGACCAACAAGTTTTTACAAAAAAAGAGCCGATGGTTCCCATCCTTTAGTAATCTGTTGCCTATGAAAGGGTAAGGCACAATTCATTTCCTTGCGATCACAAGAAGCTGCAAGCAGTTGCATTTTCTCAGGAGAATCCACCAAAAACAACTAGTAACAAGAAGCTACTAGGGGCTCCTGGCATCGCTACTAGGAGCAAGGACGCTACTAGGGGCTCCTGGCCGTACTACTAGGAGCAAGTAGCTACTAGTAACAAGAAGCTACTAGGGTGTTTGAGACTGTGTCTCCCCTCGGCATTGAAGCGCTGCACTTCTCTTCCAGTTCCAACAAACAAACGGTGTTTTTCCTCGTATTTCTTTCAGCACAGTTTTGTCAGCCAAGACAATCTCAACTGCATGCTGGTGATGCAGTTTCGCAATTATCGCCAAGCAAACCATAATTTTCTGAGGAGTCACATGGTCCCCGAGTACTCTCATGAAAACAAAAGCTGGAATATATATTCATTTTGTTTCTCCTTTCGTCATCTTTTGTCCTTACAAAATCAAATCCTTGTGTTGTTGACAGAAGTTGGGAAGCTCATGTTTTTGGAAGGAGGAGTTGGAGCGCATGTGTTCAGCATATGTCACATTTGTCAACTCACCAAGGTATAGCCTGGTGCGTGGTTCTCGCTGGTTTGCTGACCATCCTGGTGGGCTTGCCGCAGGTACTTTCTCACCAGAAACGACCAACGGATGATTGACATGCCTCACCTGCTCGTGGGTCAAATAGTGGAGGCAGAATCACTGTAGTGCCGCGAACCGCGAATTGATCTGAAAATGTCAGACTTGTATACTTTTCCAAGACTCTCCAGGTCCAAGAATGCAACTGCAACCCCTGTTGCGTGCAAGTTCGGACAGGGCAAATACCAAAGGCCCCTTCGCTTGAAAGATCCAAAAAGATCCATATTGTTTCCGCTTCTAGGTTGGAGGCCGTCGCGTTGTCACTCGAAGCTAGCAATGTGGTTGGTCAGCCTTTTCATGCGTTGGATTGGCAAACAACTGTGTGCAGAACAATTGTGGTCAATATGTTCTTTGTTGTTTTTTTTGTGCGGTGATTTTGGATGCACGAAATAGCATCAGTGTTGTGACAACATTTGGCTAGTTTACCTACCCAACGTCTCCGGATTGGAAGGACCCCATGATTTGCCCAAAGGAACCTGTATGAACAACATGCAAGCAGTGGAACTTCGATTACACACACACACGAGAGAGAAATACAAGAAAGATATGAGAACTTGAGTCAAACTGACCCAAGTAGCGATGGCCTCCACCCTAGTAGCGATGGTCTCCAACCTACTGGCGATTCTTCCGTTGCTTTCATTTTTCAGGTCCCAGTGTTGCTGCACTATCATCAGCCCCTGGGCTTCGCAGCGACCCCAGACAGTCCGGGCATCTTGGGCCAGGCGTGCAGATGGGATGGGATTGGGGGAGGTTGAGTAGGCGTCGAGAGGTGGCTTTTCTGAAGCTTTTCGAAGAGAAAACCAGCTTTTGGTCGATGAGGTGTTTCTACATCTTCGGAGTGGAGGATGTTCTCCTACAGAACTTCAGAGCAGAGGTCATCAAACCTGTAAAGTCCCAATTCACGCTTTCTTTCAACATAGGACAACCTTCTGCTCGGCTGGACTGGCAAGATTCTAGGAACCCTGGGTCCATGCTAGCTGCTAGTAGCTTACGTAAGGTACTAGCTACTTCTGGCGCCTACTTATATAATATAAGTAGGGAGGGGGTGGAGTGGGCTAAAAAGACATCTCCACAGGCAGAGCTCAAGACCTTCTTCCCGGCGTTTGCTGCTGGCGCTGAGGCGCCAGTGGTGCTGCTGATCCGCGGTCACTGGGACTTGTTGATGGGTGTTTGATCCGATCGTTCGCAACTAGGAGCAAGGACGCTACTAGGGGCTCCTGGCATCGCGACTAGGAGCATTCTTACTACTTGTTGAGAACTCCACTTGCAGAGGCGTTTGATGTTTGGGCTGCTGGGTATTCACACCTGACAGCTCCAGCAGACGCATTCATGCTCAGGTCGAAATGGTAAGGTTCTGACCAAAGAAGTCGAGGAGTTTACCGAATCTTGGATGAACCAACAAGAAAAGAACAGATGAACAAAAGGAAGGTAAGGCATTTCGTTTCTTTTTATCGTACTCTCCATTATTTTCTTCTTTTTACCACCATCTGAACGCGTTGCAATCAACGCTGATTGATTTGGATGAAAAAGCAAGGTTGAATCTGAAGTGGGAGGTGAGCATGTGTGAGCTGATTTTGATTTTGTATTCCATTGGATGTAGGCCAACTTTTTGGGTGTAAAGCTAGTCCATGTGTCTCGTTAAAGTATCCCTAAATATCTAGGAACCAAATCATTGGTGCGAGCGCTTCTTCAAGGAAGCTCCCCCCCGCCCTCAGGAGCGGGGAGCTTCCTGAAGAAGCGTGATCTATCCTGTGTCCTACCTAGAAGCTAAGGGAAGGGGGGAGCGGGCCAAAATAAACATAAACAAGAAGAAAACTGATCCTGGGCCTACTCTGACTGGAGGCACGTATTGAGCGCGCCCTGACAGACCCCCGCGCGGAGCCATTGCATCCGCTGCTCTTGGGCCTTTATGTGCCTCGGCCAACGGTCGGATGCCGTTGGACTCTGTAGGATCCGGTGAACCTGGTAGGACCGAACCTCGTGTATAACTGAGATCCACAATATGCCAGCACCTGTGCTCAGTAGGGATTGATTGAAGATTTGATGACACTTGAGAGCCACCAGATCTCTTTCACAATCCACCACAAGGTTTTCTTTAAACAAAGCTGACCTGCTGCCCTTCCTGAGTACAACATCATCCAGTATGTTTGAGCATCACCAAGATTTGGTTTTGCTTAGTGTTTGCCTTATTTTTCTGTTTTGCTTCTCTGGTTGTAGTGTCTTTTCACAGTGAGGCCAGCAACCGGTTGGGCAGCCTCAAACTGCCATCGGACCTGGTTCGAAGAAAGCTCCTCTCAAAGGACCAGAGGATGGGCTTGGCAAAGCATCGCTGTGCAATTTGAATAAAACACCACTTGATTTTATCAACAGCCTCGGCATTTCTTTCTTGCTTTTATCGTCACTAGGTTGGAAGCCACCGCTCTCGGGTTGAAGACCATCGCTCTTAGGTTGAAGGCCATGGGTATCAGGTTGGAGACCATCGCTATTGTCAGGTTGGAGGCCATTGCTATTATTAGGTTGGAGGTCAATGCTATTATTATTAGGTTGGTTAGGTTGGAGGCCATCGCCATTATTAGGTTGGAGACCATCGCTATTAGGTTTGAGGCCATCCCCGTCAGGTTAAAAGACATCATTATTTCTCCGTTGTCGATTTCTTGAAGACTTTTGTGCGAATGGGGTGGGGGGCGCGCCAGCAGCCCACCATGCTGGTTCATGAGTAACCTCAAGACCTTGGGATCCTTGCAGATTGATACGCCTAGCGTCCTTGCTCCTAGTAGCGATGCACTTGTTCCTAGTAGCTTCTTGTTCCTAGTAGCGTCCTTGTTACTACTAGTAAGGCACTTGTTACTAGTAGCGATGCACTTGTTCCTAATAGCTTCTTGCTCCTAGTCGCGATGCACTTGTTCCTAGTAGCGATGCCAGCTCCTAGTAGCGATGCCAGGAGCCCCTAGTAGCGTCCTTGCTCCTAGATTATTTCTTTCAATCTGTCATTGCATAGATCTCCGAAAGATCAGGCACTAACAATGTGGAAGTTCCAGCCGATGAGCATCCATCCAAAAGCCAATCATAGACGTCGCTGTTTGTTCAGATTTCTCTGTAGGAGCACCTTGTTGGTTCTGCTACCAACTTCCTTCCCAAGCTTTGCAACCTTTCGAGAGAAAGGAGTCAATCGCACTGTCTTCGCGCCATGGCTCTACCGAGCCTTTGGCCGAAAGAGATCAATCAAGACCTCAAGAGACCTGATGTCCTCTCAAAGAAGCTTTGTTCTAGTAGCTTTTTTTACTAGTTGCTTGGGGATGCCTTCATTTGAACATATTTGACCTGTGAATGGTCTAGTCGCCTCGGAATGGAGTTGAAATGATCGATACCCAAAAAATAGATCTCCGGACTGACCTCAAAACCCAACTGCAGAGTCTTGAACACTTGTTCATAATAGCTTCTTGTTTCTAATAGCAAACATTGTTACTACTAGTAAGGCACTTGTTACTAGTAGCGATGCACTTGTTCCTAATAGCTTCTTGTTAGCAGCAGAGTCTTGAACAGTTCATTGAACTCAGTAATTATAGATAGTGATGGTGGACGCAGAGACGATGAAGTCTCACTGTTGAGAGACGTGCGATTGTCAAGACCAAGGTTTCATTCGTTTCACCACTGTTAAATCGACCCAAGACCTTTTGGTTTTGACACAAAGAGGGCTTGGCTGGCAAGAACACATTCTTCCCTTTTGTAAGAACACTTCCTTGTTCTCCAAGAATGCCAACGATCCTGGTACAGCACTGGTTTGCCTCAGATGGAGCCAACATGGCACGGCACGCGGCAAGCCGCGCATGGCGAGGAAAGCAGCTCATGGAGTTTTTGCACGAGATGCTCTTGGATGGGCCTGCTGATGCTGAGGTGCTTCTCACTGGAAACCCCGTCATCGAATATGAGAGGTGCCTCAGCAACGAAGCCCAAAGGCATCTCTCTCATTTAGAAATCGTTCTTCTTTGTTGAAAAAATACAAGAAGGGAATGGAAAAATACATTTTGTCTACAGGAGCCTAAGAGCGATGGCCTCCAACCAACTAGCGATGGCCTCCAACCGAATAGCAAAGGGAAGAAGTGACTAGTTGCAGGTGAACTGAGTTGAGTCTTTCCATAAGGCAAGCAGGATTTTCTCTTGCTCCAGGTCCGCGTGCATCACAAAACATCGGACATTGCTGAGCGAAAGTCACGAGAAGTAACGCAAATCAATAAAGCCAAGCTACTAGGGGCTCCTGGCCTTACTACTAGGAACAAGAAGCTACTAGGGGCTCAATAAAGCCAAATCAATAAAGCCAAGCAATCTGTGGTGCCGCACGCTTTGCCTTTTGTGCAGATCCCTGTCTCCTTTTCCGAGCAAAAAGGGCCATAGCTCTTAGAGGCCATTGCTATTAGGTTTTATAGCATGGAGTTTGTGAGTTCGATGCCTTTTGCTACTAGTAGCTTTTTGTTACTAGTAGCTAGTAGCGTCCTTGCTCCTAGTAGCGATGCACTTTGTTACTAGTAGTTTCTTGTTGCTAGTAGCTTCTTGCTATAGGCTTACCAAAAGGATCGGTTTTATGAGTTGAGGTTCTTTGATCGGAGCATTGAACTACTGTTGCGGGCGGAGCTTTGTGTGTTGCCCTTCACCACCATGATCTTCATTTGGTTGGTCCGGGAGGCGTGACGAGGGTCTCCGATCATTGAAGCCACTTCTTGTTCCTAGTAGCGATGCCCTTGTTACTAGCAAGGACGCTACTAGTAACAAGTGCATTACTACTAGTAACAAGAAGCTACTAATAGTTTCTAGCTACTAGTAGTAATGCCCTTGTTACTAGCAGCAATAGGTTTCGGATTTCATTCTTGGAGGATGCATAATCTGTCCACTCTTGTTTCATTCTGAGGAGATGTAAGTTTTTGCTAGACCCAGGGTCTTAAATCTGGAGAACATACACTTGCTGTTGCTTTTGCATATATATATGTGTTTAAGTGCTTCTTCTTTAGACCTTTAGACTTGTCTTCTTTCCTTTTCATCCTGCCATCTTCGCAAAAGTCTAGTGCAAAACATGGGGGGATACCTGCTTCAAGCTGCGGCGTTCAAGGTCCGACTACTGGTCTTTCCACCTTTGGTCTTGCTCTGCTCCTTGGCCTTGAGTGCTGCTTGCTCAGTGCCGCTGGCCAAGTGGACGCCTTTGTCTCCGGATGTACCGATGCTTGGCGGAGACGGGTGTGATGGACTGCCTCCTTAATTAAGTAGAGACTACCTGCTTAATTCAATAAGGAAGAAGTAAGCTAGTTACTTGGAAGCTACTACTACATATGAACGCAGGATAGCTCATGCTTCTTGAAGGAAGCTCCCCCCCGCCGACCTAAAGGCGGCGCGGGGGAGCTTCCTTGAAGAAGCGCGAGCCTTCCTGCGACTTTTAGGGACAGTTAATAGCAATGGCCTCCAACCTGATAGCAATGGAACATGAGCTGGCGAGCTGATGGAGCATCAAAGGCAAATTGTGAGCTTTGTGGGGCACGCATTTCAAAAAGGGTTTGCTTCCGTCCAGCCCCTTGAGGTTTGGTCATCCAGGGGATTTGCCAAGAACTAAAAAAGACTTCCCAACCGTGTAAGGGGCACTCTAATTGTGCCTGGTCTAATTGTGCCGAAAGCTGAGTCCCCATGTAACATTGTGAAGTTCTGAGGCCTGCCATGATCTCAGTGTTGCTGGCCTTCAGCTTGGACTATTCTCTCTTCATCTTGAGCCGCTTCATGGAAAACCATAGCAAAGGTGTCGAGACCTGGCCATGAACGAGCAAGTGACGATGTTGTTTAGGTTCTGAAAGGACTTAGACTTTACCTTTTGTAAAAACAACATACAAGCGTTGACCCCAAACAGTTTGTTTGGTCCAGGTCCAAGTCCAGACAAGTGTAATATCATGCGGCCACAGCACTCACAAGCACTGTGGGAGACAAGTGGGAGACAAGTGTAAAATCATGCGGCCCGGTCATGCACCCCTTTCAAAGGAGTAAGAACCCCTCACGGGTAAACCTGTTTGGGGAAAAATTGCCTCCAAATTAAGAGCGATGGCCTCCAACCTGATAGCAATGACCGCCCACCTAGAAGTGATGGCCTCCAACCTACTAGCGATTGCCTTTGCTAAACCCTGAGCCTTTGGACCATTTGTATTTTTGGGGTCGACTTCAAACCTTGTCGGTTTCGGCTGTCAGACAGGTGTCTCGTCACGAAGTGGCATTCACGACTGGTTGGACCTGAGCAGTTGGCATTGAGGTAGGGCCTGATAGCGTCCTTGCTCCTAGTAGCGATGCCAGTAGCCCCTAGTAGCGTCCTTGCTCCTAGTAGCGATGCCAGGAGCTACTAGTAGCGTCCTTGTTCCTGCATAGAAATCGTTCAGCAGTGCGTAAGGAGAGAGAGGAGAATGCCAAGATCTTGGTTTGCGAGACTGGGCACACCATCGTGGTTAGCGGAATCCTGCGCCTTGGCAAAGACCCGGCACACCTTCTTTGTGTCAACATGGTTTTGGGAACTCAAGCACAGCCTGAAGGATGTGCAGACAATGTGTCACCCTGATGTAAGAGACCACTTTTCTTGGTAGACCTGCAGAGTGCACGCGGATTTTCACACATGTCTTGTTAAAGCCTTCAATCTTGGACAACGCCCCCTTGCAACTAACAAGAGTGTATTCCTTTCTATTGACCTTTAGATCTTTCATTTTTCCTTTCAAATCCATCCACCGCCCGCCTGAAGCGACAGCGAGGATTGCCATTGCTTTCTTTGGAGCATTCGCCTTGCCAGAGCGTAATCTGCACAGCGCGGGGCAAGTGTTGGGCATTACAGTGGTCTGCTGCATGCTGGTGACACTTGGCCGACATTGACCGAGTCAGCTATGCCTTTCAAGGAAAGTGTTGAACATTTGAGTTCTTGGAGGGTAGGTGGTCTCGTCATGACATTAACTCACCTGACCGCTATGGGACTTGACGGGTGCATATTTGTTTGTTGGTGATACCCTCGTAGTCAGGATTCTCTTCTACAGTGTGGACAGGATCGAACTACAGAAGGGTTTCTGCCGCCCTATCCGTTCAGAATCAGGGAAATGAGAACGTTCATGAAACTTTATGGAAGACCGTCAACTGTTGATGCATGTCGGGTTTTATGAGCTGCATTCTTGGTGGTAAATAGCTCCGGTTCTTGACCCTAAAACCGATTAGCCTAAGGCACACCAATTACAAGTTGTGAAGGAACATGCCAAAACCTCACATCGCTAGTAGGTTGGAGGCCATCGCTACTAGGGACCCCAGCCGTCCCGAAAGACACACGGAAGAGAAACCGACGTAGGAGGGAAGATGCTTGTTACTAGTAGCTTCTTGTTACTAGTAGTGATGCCAGGAGCTACTAGCAGCTTCTTGCTCCTAGTAGCGATGCCCTTTGTTACTAGTAGCGATGCACTTGTTTCTACTAGCTTCTTGTTACTACTAGTAAGGCACTTGCAATGAAGGAACATCGCTCTCTCGCCATCCTTGCTGCTCCTCTTCGGTTGGCGCTTCGTGGAGACCGAGTCGCCGGACAGCGAGAGCGAGCGAGAGGCGCTCATGGGCAAGGAGCCGCGGAAGCGAGAAAAGCGAGAGCAAAGAAAGGAAAAAACTGAAAAGAAAGAAAGGTCGAAAGGTATAAAGAGAAAAGGAAGAACCCCTTCAGAGCCCCTGATAGCGTCCTTGCTCCTAGTAGTAAGGCCAGGAGCCCCTAGTAGCGTCCTTGCTCCTAGTAGCGATGCCAGGAGCCCCTAGTAGTGTCCTTGCTCCTAGTAGCGATGCCAGGAGCCCCTAGTAGCGTCCTTGCTCCTAGTAGCGATGCCAGGAGCCCCTAGTCCTAGTAGCGTCCTTGCTCCTACTAAAAAGGTCTACAGAGAAAAGAAAAAAAACAAGAAACAAAGGTTGAATGGTTGAAATAAAGAAAGAAACGAGAAAAGGAAAGGACAGAAAGCAAAGGAAGAACTTGCACTACGCTGCCACGCGCGTCATTGTCGAGTTGAAGAGTCCCAATCATGACACCTCTTGAATTGAGGCCAAGCGTCATCAAAGCCGATAAATCAGTTCCATGAGCAGGTGGAGACGCGTCAAAAGACGCCAAACACCCATAGTATAGCGGACTGTTCATGTGTTGTTGATGTCAAGCCTAGGAGTAGACTTTTCGAGTCATTTGTGCACATCAAGGTTTGTGCTGCTGCATGAGGGCTTGAATGAATGGCGGGAGTGTGAGGGTGTGTGTTGAACTTGAAGAGACAATGCAGAAGCTGGTCGGGTCGAGATAGTTTTTTTGGTGCTCAATCTACCATTCTTCTGGTGGGGTCCATCGCTGGGCTGTCGCAGCTTGCAGCTGTTGTGGCGTGAAAAGTGCCGGGCACTTCATGCCGTCTCGGCAGTTTTGAGCCGGGGACTCGCAATCTCGCCAGTTCTGTCGTGTGCGATTTTGGCAATTTTTGCTCCTTGCGTTTCTGCACGAGGAAACTGGGTTGCTGGGCCTCAGTGGCAGCGAGGGGGAGACGCTGGGTGAGGAGGCGCGGATGTCAAGCGAACAGCAGGCGCTCAAAGGGCAAAAGGTTTCCTCAAACCGTTAACACTTGCAGGTGCTCTGTAGTTGTACCACACTTTGAACCTGCAAAAGAAAACACAATAAGTAGTGTTAAACACACTTAACTTAAGTGTGTTGTTGATGCGGATTCAAGGCTACCAGCAGGATGCTTTGCGTGCATCAATTGTGGACTTGCCCAGTCGCTTCTGTGAAATTGCAGTCCATCAGTTTAAGTTTCCAGTTTCAAGGGTGGTGCATTATTGTTACTAATACTTTTTCATTATTGTTGGCAGTCAACTACCAACCCATTTATTGTGTTCTTGAATTATGTCAACGAACGAGCATTAGGTAGTGATGTCCTCTCAGTCCTTACCTTTCGTTTTGACAATGCGTGTCATTTTTACCTATTTAAACAGCCGTTCATATCCTTCCAAGGGATTAGCTTTCAACAACTTTTTTTTTGCAGATGACACATTGGTACCTGCCAAATATTCAAGGATTGCTTAGGAATATCGGAATACAGAATACCTATATCTCAGTAACGCTGAGTCAGAAGATTTGACTTTATTCTTCATTACTCCAAACGCTGACACATTGCATATATTCTTTTTTGTCAGGGCAGGGTATGGTTCCGCAGCGGTGAATTGATGACGTGTACCGGCAAGGCAACATACTTGGGAGGCAGCGTCACAGAACATCTCAAATTCAATACACGAAATCTGAAGAGGATTCCTTTTTTTTGGCTGAGACCCTTTGCAGTAAAAGTGGAACTTGTTTGTATACAACGCGGTCATTACCTGCAAAGTTCTCTATGACCCTATGGCCTGAAAACATTGGAGCCTACAGTGGCGGGACAATTGCTGAACACTTTCCAACTTAAAAGTCTTTGAACGATTCTCAAACTACAGACATCTTTCATTCAACGACACAAATGTAACAAGTGCGCTTACAAACGTGCAAATGACGTGTTGAATGCACGGGCGCAAGGTGTTGGGAGAAAAGTCAAGCCGCAAGCCGCGTCTTTTTTGAGCATTTGCCCTATCCAGTGAGAACCTCAACATAGAAGAGTAAGTGGGACGACCAGGTCCCTGCACCGTAACAAGCATGGCAACTGCATGGGAGATAATCAAGCAAGAAGATGCTTCTCTTGCTTCTCAGTTCTTTCAACAAATTGACCTGTGCCATGCGTTAATGTATCATGTTACAAATTTGTCAGACCACCCACGTCTTCACAAAGGTCACTGGTCGTAGCCTTACCGTAAAACTCAGTGTGAAGAGAAGGAAGATCAGTGCAATACAGATGAAGCTCAGTGTGAAAACCTTCACAGATTCCCATGCAAAACCTTCCGAATTAAATCAGTGTTGATTTGTGATTGCCTTAGGCCTTAGTTATATAGTTAGGAGTCAGGCACTGTGGGAAGCAGGTTTGCACCAATGACCTGATGCATTAAACACTGCAAGTGGAGGGAAAAACGCACTTGTAGTGTATTTTTTACAAGAACATCGGAGTGGCTTTGTTTGGTATTCCTTGCTGAGTTTGTTGGAATTCACAGGCCTTTGCGAAGCACAAGAACTGGTTTCGCTTCATGCGGCTCATCGAGTGGCTCGTTTCACAAAAAGAGACTTCCAGTGCTACTAGGAGCAAAGACGCTGCTAGGGGCTCCTGGCCGTACTACTAGGAGCAAGAAGCTATTAGGTTGGAGGCCATTGCTAGTAGGTTGGAGGTGGGGAGGCCATCGCTATTACAGTAGGTTTCTTTAAATGTATCCGTTCCTTTTCATGGACCCATGAAAGACGGACACATCCGTTCTGAGGCGATGTCCTCGAGGGGCAGTTTGCTTGGTCTTTCTGATCTTCCTGCCATTGACTTGGCAGCTTGGAAGCTACTAGGGGCTCCTGGCATCGCTACTAGGAGCAAGGATGCTACTAGGGGCTCCTGGCCTTGCTACTAGGAACAAGAAGCTACTAGGAGCACCTCCAAGGCAGCTTCCAAAGCTTCATGGCACCGCCGACATCTATGCGGCCCTCCCGCGAGATATGCCCAGCGTGTCCATCGGTGAGTGGGGGCGAGTTGGTCGAGTCAGCCGAGTCGGATAATCGTGACGGACCATTTACGATTCTGTGTTCTCACCGGTATTTGGTCATTTGATGTCATTTGATGTCATTTGGTCCATTCTGGTCCTTGGCCAGCTCGGATTCAATGTTAGGTTCTAGACTCTTCTATGAATCTAGGAACCAAATGAATAGCGTGAGCTATCCTGCGTGCTACCCAGGAGCTAACTTAGCCCCTATTTAATTATGTAGGTGCCTAGCGCCTACTTCATTAAGTAGTAGGGGGGGCAGATCACGGTCTAATAGAAAAAGAAGAGTACAACACATACCGTGATGGTTCATGGTGTCACCACATCGCTGTTGCTGCGGAAATCTGGAGTGGTGATGAAGTGGTCCTTTGAAGGCAAGGGCAATATGGTCAGAAGCGATGGCCTCCAACCTAAGAGCGATGGTCTGGACGGTTAGGACTTTTAGGAAGGATTTCATTTTTTAAATCTGCTTTTTATTTGCTCCCCAAGGACTTCTGGACCTCTTGTTGACTCAGGCTTGCCATGCGGGAATTGGCACGTGAGTTCCCTGGTGGTCAATTTGATCCTTACTTTGTGGTTCTCACTGGGGACACGCTGATCTCGGAGGAGGGCTACAAGGCCATGGTACTGCCAACGTGGCGGATGTGGGCATGTCTTGAGACTTGAACTATGGACATCCAGCGAGGAGTACATGATGTCTGAGAAACCCACGAAAACCACAGTGCAACACCGTGATTTCTTGGTTGCCCTTGCCCTGAGTCTAGAAGATGTCAACAAGAGGATTAAGCACTTGGCTCTTCTTGAAGAAGGATGCCACATGCATTTTCTGCAGGCGAGAGCTGCAGTGCGCTCTCAAAGCACCCAAAGACCCAGACTGGGAGTCACTTTTCACCATGTAAAATAGGATGTCACACTGAACGATAGATTCAAGCTATGCAGGCAGCGTTAGATGGGAAAGAAACCACCATAGCTTGAATCACGCAACCTTGAGCAGTGAGAGGCGATGCTGCAGCTTTGTGGCATGCTGCAGAATGTGGGGGTCCGGGTCTTGGGTGCTGAATCCAAGTATGTGAGGAGGCCAGGCCACTAGTAACAAGTGCCACGCTAGTAGTAACAGGTGCCTTACTAGTAGTAACAAACAAGCTAGTAGTAACAAAGAAAACAGAAAAGGAAGAAAGGTCTAATATAGCTTCTTGTTACTACTAGTAAGGCACTTGTTACTAGAAGCGATGCACTTGTTTCTAATAGCTTATTGTTTCTAATAGCTTCTTGTTACTACTAGTAAGGCACTTGTTACTAGAAGCGATGCACTTGTTCCTAATAGCTTATTGTTTCTAATAGCTTCTTGTTACTACTAGTAAGGCACTTGTTACTAGAAGCGATGCACTTGTTTCTAATAGCTTATTGTTTCTAATAGCTTCTTGTTACTACTAGTAAGGCACTTGTTACTAGAAGCGATGCACTTGTTCCTAATAGCTTATTGTTTCTAATAGCTTCTTGTTACTACTAGTAAGGCACTTGTTACTAGAAGCGATGCACTTGTTC